AAAGCAAATTTTTTTATTGGAAATGTTTAAACAAAAGAATTTTAAGGAAGAGTGTTTAAATGGTGACTTGTTTGTATATGTGTGAGTGGTTGATAATTTTTTTTAGTAATTGTTTTTTGCTGTGTGTTAACTTGATGATAGTGTAAGTTTGAATTATGACTTCTGTTTATGACTTTTTCACCTTTTTTAAATGATACTTTTTAAATGACTTTCAAAGTATATCTTAATTTTTCTGAATTTGCTTATTTATGTTTATATTTTGTAGAATGATGTTTTTTAAATCTTTTATATTTATATGTGTTTATATTTTTAGTTTATATTTTTATATGTGTTTACTGTTATAACATTTTTTTAAATTTTGTTTTGAAAATTCTTAAACTTTTTATGCTTTAAAAAGTTGAATCTATTGAACAATGTGGTAGATTTTTTAAATCTATTGAATGATGTGGTAGATTTTTTAAATCTATTGAATGATGTGGTAGATTTTTTAAATTTATTACTGCTATATTGGTGGTACTTCATGTGCTTTTTTTTTGTTTTAATGTCATTAGGTTTTTGATTAATATTTATACATGAAATTAAGTTTGTATAATAAAATATGAACTTTATTTGGTTACAGTTTATGTTGGTTTATTTAAGATAAATTAATAATATTATTATATACACTAAATAGTTATAAAAAGTTATGAAACTTGAATTTTGTTAAAAATTGTTACTTTTAAATGTTTTTAACTTTTTCTATTTTTTGTTTGTTTTTTGTTATTTACTCAAGAAGTTGTAAAATCTATTGTACTTTGAAGTTTGAAATTATTTAGATTTTTGAAATTTATTTGTTTTAAAAAGTAATTTTTAAAACATCTTAGACAACCATAATGTCAAGTAAATACTGGGAAAGGAGGATGTGATCTAAATGTTGCCAATTATTGTATTATTGCTTTGCTTGATTAGTTTGCAAAAGATGAAAAAATGTTTTTTTTTTTTTTTTTTTTTTAATTTATTGGTTTTAATTTATTAGAAATAAATAGTGAATATACAATAGAAACAAATAGTACAATAATAATAGAAATAAATAAAACATACCAGAAATAACAAGTAGTTATATATAAGATATACATAGTAAATTTATAAAAACAAATTTTAATGAAGGTTATAGAAACATTTATGATGATATTGAAAAATAAAATGTTTATAACCAAACATTTATAATAATATTGAAAAATAAAATTTGTGCTTATGATAAACCAAAATTTAATATTTAAAATTAACTTTCAAACAAATAAGTTCTCACCTCTTTAATTCAAATTTTAAATGTTAGAATCTCTTTAGTTTAAATTTTGAATGATAGAACTTTAGTTTTTGTTAAGTGCTACTTAACCATGGAAGATGTCAGAAATATTTTTTAAACCTTGCAAATCATTGTGGAAAGAAATCCAGCTATATGTTTCTTCAACAGAGAATTTATCTACAATCAAAGTAATCATTGGAGAATCTCTTATTGAGGAAACAGAAGAATTACATTCTGAAGTATTTGTTTTTGTTGTACTTTTTATATTGTATTGTTGCAAGTTTTTTTATATTATTTTTTGTTTTTTGTTTTTGTTTAAATTTAAAAATCACTTCTTTTTAATTAAAATTTTAAGACTGTATTATTAAAGTAAATTAATACATAATATTTAGTAAGTTTAAATTATTTGAAATATATTAATTCAAAAATAATAAACTGTATAGATAAATAAAAAATTTCACAAAAGTTAAAACTACTCAATGTGGCATTTAATGTGGCATTATCAAATCACTTAAGATTCATAACTGCGCTTCACAATATCTAAAAAAAAAATTAATTTACAAAATTTTGAAAAATGAAAGGTTTTGTCTACAAATAACTGACTTGAGTTGACTGTTGACTCTTGACTGAGTTTTGATATCCCCATTCAAAATCCTCAAATAGTAAAAATATCACTTTGATGCATATAATTTTGTGTGTCAAAACAACATAATTAAAGATAGAACATTTAAACTTTATGTTTATGTAATGCATTATACTATATTTTATGTTCTCAATTTTAATGTTTTGAACTATGAATTTTATTTTTTTAATTATAAATTTAAATTATGAAAATTACTTATTATTAATAATTTTTTTTATTTAAATAATTTTAAAAATTATTTTATATTATTATACAAATATTATACAAGTTTAAAAGTTTTCTGTGTTTACTTGACTTTGTGTTTACTTGACTTTGTGTTTACTTGACGTTGTGTTTACTTGAATTTGTGTTTACTTGACTTTGTGTTTACTTGACTTTGTGTTTACTTGACTTTGTGTTTCTTTTTTTTTAAATAACTGTAGCTTTTCACTAATGATTTTTTCATAAGAAAGCAAAAATATTAATTGAAGTATGATTCAATTTAAAAACATTGTTTTTTTTTCTTCAGATTTTTCTATTCTTTTTTTTGTTTATTTCATGATTGAAAAAAGTAAAAGTTGTTCATAGTTTGTTTTTGTTTATTGACTTTATTTTAGTAATATTTATTTTATTTATTTAGGATTATATTATGTTTGTGCTACTTATTTATTTAGTATTATATTATGTTTATTGTTACTTCATGATGTAATAACTAAATAGTTAGTTTTTATATTAATAGTTTTAATTCTAAATAAATATTTCTTAACAAGTTTTTAATAGCAACATTTAATTGTTTAACAGGAAGTTGTTTTTAAATATATATATATATATATATATATATATATATATATATATATATATATATATATATATATATATATATATATATATATATATATATATATGAATTGATATATATATATATATATATATATATGAATTGATATAAATACATATATATATTGATATATATATATATATATATATATATATATATATATATATATATATGTATATATATATATATTGATATATATATATTGATATATATATATATATATATATATATATATATATATATATATATATATATATATATATATTTGTTCAAACAGTTGATCCTTATTACGAACACCTTCATGATTAAATCTGCAGTTGTTGATCTCCCACAGGTTCTCGATAGGGTTGAGATCCGGAGATTGAGGCGGCCAATCCATCACCGATAGGTGGTTGTCTTAAAACCACTTCTTGATTACTTTTGCAGTGTTTTTCGGATTGTTGTCTTGCTGAAAAACCCATTTTATTGGTATATTCCATTCAGCATGAGGTAACATAACATCTTTCAGGATATTTTTATACATGAAACGGTCCATTATTCCATCGATTCGATGTATTGAACCTAGACTGTTAGCAAAAAAACACCCTTAGACCATTACATTGCCTCCACCATTATTCACAGTCTTATGGTAGTAACGTAAATCAAGGCATTTTCCAGTCGGTTAACGTACACAGCAAATACCATCTCTCCCAATGATGTTGAACTTCAATTCATCACTGAACGGGACAGTTCACCATTTCTGCACATTCCAGTCAATATGAGATGTAGCAAACAGGAGTTTTTTCTTCTGGTTTTTTAGTGAAATCAGCGGTTTCTTTGCAGGGCATCAAGAAAACAATCCGGCTTCAACAGCACGTTGTCTGATTGTTCGGTCCAATACAGGCAGCTCTAATTGCTTTTGTATCTGGACTAATGATATCTACGGATCCTTCTTGAATAGAATCCTCTCTAAAAGTGGTGGAACGCGGTCTTCCACCTTTGTTATATGCTGCCAACTTCCCCGTAGAACGATATTCGGAACATAGTCTTGATACGGTCTACTTTTTTATGTGATATTAATGACAAATATTTTTTTGTGACATTCCACTTTTTCGGTGCTTCTGGATACTTCTGGATGCGTCTGGATGCTTCTGAATGTTTCTGGATACTTCTGGATGCTTCCAGATGCTTCTTCTGGAAACTTCTGGAAGCTTCTGCATGTTTCTGGAAACTTCTGGAAACTTCTGGATACTTCCTTAAATTATTAAAAAACTTCTGTGACGTTGACACGAACCAGACTTAATAAAATGAAACAAACCAAAAAAATTGCACTTGTTTTGTCCGCCTCAAAATTGCACTTGTCAACAAAATTCTGCCCGTGTGCTGTCACCTGTCAGCTGATTGCTCATGTCATGGTATGACTCCAGACTCCTGAACTGTTTGCTGTGGTAGTATAGTTTATTTTGTTTTTAAGACATGTAAAATTAGGAACACTTTTTAGCATTGTTCAATGTTGGTTGCAAATGTTTTGTCCAATACTGTATATTTATTTATATATATATATATATATATATATATATATATATATATATATATATATATATATATATATATATATATATATATATATATATATAAAATCAACTTATCTATCGAATTTTAAGCTTTAAACAACGTATTTTTATTCATGGGCATCATAATCTTTTCAACTTTTACAGTTTATTTATTTATTGGAATGAAAATTCGTAATTAACTACTTTTTAACTCTATACGTAATAATCTCAAGGATTTTCATCTGGTGAACTCGGCAGACAAATTTACTTGGCTTAAAACTTAGGAGCATTAACTTTAAGAAATTCTTGCAACATTATATTTATTTGAAATTAATATTTCTCTCAGAATTTGGTACTTTATATATGAAAAAAAAGTCACAATATTAGAAACATAGTTGTTTATAGTTAATTAAAAGCAAGTAAAATGCAAATTTATTTCCAGTTTTTTGTGTATGCACTTTATATAAAAAAATACCTACTTTTAATTAATGTTAATTGATTTTAGTTAAAGTTAGTTGTGAAGAAGATAATTAAATCTTTACTTTTAGGTTTCTATTCTCAATGATATCTGGAAAGAAAAATATGGTTTGTAAATTGTATATAAAGTACAATCCCAAATATAAAATGATTATAAAAGTGTAAAATATAATGTACTTATTTAAAGAAACATTTTCTCAATCTGCAAGTATTCAAGAAGGGATCTTGAAGCAAATACAATTTTTT